GAAATTCGACTGTGTCCATGTGATGGTTCTGGTCATCTTTGTCTTCTCTGTATCCGAGAATTTGGTTGTAATTGTCATTGTAAGGACTGGTTGCCACATGTTGCGGCGCTATTCAGACTAGGGGCAACTTTCTGTTGCCGTCCAGTGCGCTGTAGTGCCGTTCAAACAAGGGGCAACTTTTCGTTGCCATTCAATGCGCTGCAATGCCGTTCAAACAAGAGACAACTTTCCGTTGCCATGCAGCTCCCCTTAAGCAAGGGGCAATTTTCCTTCGAATCTGAGGTTGTGCATCTCGAGAGTGGGTTCTATGCTCGTTAAGCAGTGGCCGTTTGCAAAAACAACTTTTGAGAATTTTTACTAAGGTTGATTGATTTTCTCTCGAAAACTATTCAATTTTTCCAAACCTGGACCTTTTTCTTGGACCCAAAAAAGAAAAATTTTCAGTGCTCATAAACTAACTTGCATGATTTTGAATCAGAAAATCCAACAAGCGTTTTAATCTAACTCTTTTTTTGGTTAAAATTGTTTTAGTAGAAAACCAAACCAAAAAAAATGGTCAAAACGATGAACTAGGGGCACAGTTTGAGTCAGGTGTTCTGTCTTTTCCCCTTTATCAATGCATTTGCCAGAAAGGGCACCATACTTGCCAGAAAGGGGCACAACGAAAGCTAACTGCAAAAAGGGCAGAAAGCTCTCACATCCTCCAAGCAACGCGGTATCAAGCCAAGTGCGAAGCACAAACGGGAATGGATCGAGATATTCCACTCCTTTGTTTGGACACATCTGATTACCTCCAAACCCCTCCGCGGAGTATCGTCAACCGATGTCAGCTGCAGATTTGCTACACACCCAATTGTAGCACAGCCCCTCTGTGGAAGAAACTCACTATTATGCACAAGAAGAAGAATCTAGCAGAATGCTATGGGCAGGAGCCCACAACTTTCTGTTTATCCGTCAACCACCCAGGGGAGGGACAGAAAAAGAGAGAGATTGAAGAATAGAGAGATGTGAGCTGAGAGAAAAAGTGAGAAAATGGCTTTTTCAGAAAAACAGAGCCTGAGGGTCGAATGATGTGAGAATCACAAATTAGAAAGGGTGGGAAATAATACCCGGAGAAACTGGCTCCTCGTGCACTGAGAGGTCTCTCGTCTTTGTAACACGTCTGTGTGTTGTGTCTTTTGTTTTGTTCGTCTCGATTACAAAAAAATGAGAGATTGAAGAATAGAGAGATGTGAGCTGAGAGAAAAAGTGAGAAAATGGCTTTTTCAGAAAAACAGAGCCTGAGGGCCGAGTGATGTGAGAATCACAAATTAGAAAGGGTGGGAAATAATACCCGGAGAAACTGGCTCCTTGTGCACTGAGAGGTCTCTCGTCTTTGTAACACGTCTGTGTGTCGTGTCTTTTGTTTTGTTCGTCTCGATTCTTGCTTTGAGTCGTTCCGAGCATGTCTCGATGTGTTTAGGTTGTTTACCTTTGTTTTCCTTTGTTAAGTCGTGATGCGCTGTGTCCAGTTGTAGACTCAATACCCAGTTGAGAATTCATTTTCAATTTCGATTTCAAAATAAAATCGTTTTGTACTCAGAGTGCTGTGTCATTCTCCACATTTGTGCAAAATAGTATTTGTTCCTTCATAAAATCGCAGGATTCAATCCAGGTCATGTCAGAATAGTAAAACCAGGACCTATTTGAAGCTATATGGGTTCCAAACTACAAAGCAAAAGAAAAGAGGAAATGTCAGGTATCTGAGTTTGTTTCAACTTCAGTAAGTTCCGAGACTACATTCCGTGTGTACCTCTTCGGGTCTTGCCATTGCTCTGAAGTACGAGTGTGCCTCTACCTCAAGCTCAATATTAAGTCTGCTTCAAGCCAGAATGGCAATCAAAAGTGCTCTCCCTGAGTACCATTCCCTGCCGGAGGCATCTTGGCTGTGTTCGCAATGAGTTCCTAAGAGACCAACTGCGAAGGTGGAAACTAAAGTTCGAATGGCTAATGCCTAGAACGTAAAGGTTCGGGATTTCCGGGACTAAAGTCTGGTTTAAATACCTAGAGGCGTGTCCTCGGCTTGAAATCTGTATGGAAGCCCCATAGGTTGAGATAGCGTGTATGTACCTCAATTCTGGATACTGAACCAACCTAGTCTGTCACCCCGTTGGAGAATAGGGAAAGTTGTGAACATGATCAGGAAGAAAGGCAACATTCAAAGTGTTCTATGTGAAGAACCCTTGTCAATATTTCAAAGCCTTTGTACTGTAAGATTGAAGGTAAGTGTTCGAAGAGCACAAGGGGAGATCCCCGTCGGAGAAGATCGGTTCACTGCCACTCACCTCATGAGGTGCTTTCTAAAGCGCCGCTACGCTTGTTTATTGCGTTCATTAAACATCATGCATTGTATTGCATTGTACATATCAAGTTTCTTTCTCATTCATGCACGATATTGTATGTACGGTTCATTCAAAGAAGTTCCGTTTGAGATCCTTTATTTAGTGTATCAATCACACTTCATTTAGTTAGTGTATCAATCACACTTCATTTCTTTAGTGTATCAATCACACCTTATTTACCCTTAGTGTATCTATCACACTTTCTTCATTTATTTAGTGTATCAGTCACACTTCTTTCATTTTGTGTATCTATCACATACATTCTCGTTTTGTGTATCAATCACACTTCACTTCATTCACTTAGTATAACAACCACACTTCATTCACTTTCACTTTTGTGTATCTATCACACACATTCTCATTTTGTGTATCTACCATGCACATATTCACTTTAGGGTATCTATCACATACATTCTCGTTTAGTATATCAATCACACTTCATTCATTTAGTGTATCAATCACACTTCATTCATTTAGTATATCAATCATACTCTGTTCACATAGTGCATCTATCACACTTTGTGTTCATTTTCAATATACCAATCACACTTTGTTCACTAAGTGCATCTATCATACTTTGTGTTCATTTAGTGTATCCATCACACTCGTTCACTAAGTGCATCTATCACACATCGTGTTCACATTTAGTATATCAATCATACTCTGTTCACATAGTGCATCTATCACACTTTGTGTTCACATTCAGTGTATCAATCATACTCTGTTCGCTAAGTGCATCTATCACACTTTGTGTACATTTAGTGTATCCATCACACTTGTTCACTAAGTGCATCTATCACACGTCGTGTTCACATTTAGTATACCAATCATACTCTGTTCACATAGTGCATCTATCACACTTTGTGTTCATTTTCAGTATGTCAATCATACTTTGTTCACTAAGTGCATCTATCACACTTCGTCTTCACATTTAGTGTATCAATCACACTTCATTCATTTAGTATATCAATCAGACTCTGTTCACATAGTGCATCTATCACACTTCGTGTTCACCTTTTGTGGATCCATCACTCTTGTTCACTAAGTGCATCTATCACAGTTTGTGTTCACCTTTTGTGTATCCATGACACTTGTTCACTAAGTGCATCTATCACACTTTGTGTTAACCTTTTGTGTATCCATCACACTTTGTTCACTAAGTGCATCTATCACACTTTGTGTTCACCTTTTGTGTATTCATCACACTTGTTCACTAAGTGCATCTATCACACTTTGTGTTCGCTTTTTAGTGTATCAACCACACTCTGTTCACTTAGTGCATCTATCACACTTTGTGTTCGCTTTTAGTGTATCCATCGAACATGTTCACATAGTGCATCTATCACACTTTGTGTTCGCTTTTATTGTATCTATCATACTCTGTTCATATAGTGCATCTATCACACTTTGTGTTCACTTTTAGTGTATCAATCACACTTTGTTCACATAGTGCATCTATCACACTTTGTGTTCACCTTCAGTGTATCAATCACACTCTGTTCACGTAGTGCATCTATCACACTCTGCGTATATCCATCATGCTTTGCTTCACATAGTGCATCTATCACACTTTTGTATTCACTTTGTGTTTCTATCACACTTTGCTTTACTTAGTGTATCCAGCACACTCTCTTCACTTTTGTGTATCTATCACAAATGCTCGCTAAGATTGCATCATAACTTTTTGGGTGAATAAGACATAAATAAAAGACAAAGGAGATACAAGAATACAAGGGGAATACCCCAGGCCCTACAATCAACTATACAGCAAGATCATCAACCAAAAACAAAAAAATAAAGCAAAAGAGAGCCCGAACAAAAACACTGTTCAGCAACCATATGATGAGAGATAGGGGAAATGAACACTGCGAAGGAACAGCCCAGAGCCGTGAGTTAAACAGCCCCATAACAGCACAAAATGACAGCCCCAAGTCCGAAAACAGTAATGGAAAACAAAACATAACCTGTGGACTACATAATCCAGAACCAAACAGTAAAGCAATAGAAACAAAACAGGCCAAAGATGGACCACTTAATTCCTAGCACATCCCGCTAGGATAGGTAAAATAACTAAAGTTGTTAAAACAGAAATGAAAACAGCTTATATCCCTGAAGAAACAACCAGCGGCGCATTCAGTAGCCAGCTTCGAGCCAAATATCCCAAGAATCAAACCAAGATGTAGACCTCCACTAGACAATATAGAACGACCTGCCAAAATGGAGTAAACAAATCCATTAGTGATCATGAAGGATTCCAGTAAAAACAGGTAACCACAATATATGTCACACATCACTAAACCCACAATAATCTCGCATCACTCAGTAGTATTTGGAATTTAGCACACAATATATAGGCTCTCATCACTCAACCCACACAGCATTTTGCATTACTCCATAGCCTGCACATAAAGCTTACAATATATATAAACATTAGATAAAACATTTGTGAGTAGCTATTTCACTCAACCCACAATTCTGTCTGTTGTAAATTTTTGGACTCACAACACTCAACCCTCATTGATCCAAGCACTTCTCTGTTTTATCTACACAAGAAGAAAACAGTTAGGAAAAACACTCTGTTTGCTTACAATCACTCGACCCTCATATAGTGAACTCACATCACTCAACAGCCCTCCCAGTGCCGAGAACATGGGGCTTCAAGACAGTAGCAGGCAAATTCCAATGGTCAATGTACCAGTTGTCACCTGCATTTCTAGGAACATTTGTGATAGACAACAATCTACCCCGAATCAGTTGGACAATTATTTTAACCACCACTTCTTCTGGCTTGAATTCTTTATTGAAAATTCTGTTATTCCTTTCAAGCCAGATTATATAAACAGAGCACAACAATGACAATTTGATGATTATGGATCTTAATGATCTTCTCTTAGTCTCTCTAGTAGCAAAAGGAATAATGCCAGGCGAATAAACACTCCATATCCCCCACATTACTAGCCACATTGAGAGGAACTAACAA